TCGAGCTCGGTACCCTTTTCAATACTAAATCTAAAAATAATAAAATGTATTTTTTTAAATTATTTAAAAATTCAACAACAAAGTTATTCAAAATAACGAAAATCTGTTTTTAAAAATAGATAAATTTCATTATATCTATTTTAGTATTAAATTGACAAATTGTTCATAAAACAATGAATGTTAATAATTTAAAATAAATATTGTTGTTTTATTAAATATAAGTTTGTTTGTCAAGATGTTTTTATTTATAATACAAATTTGTTAATTTTTGATTTTTATTTTGTTTTTAAATTAAATTTTGAAGTAAATTATATTTAATTGTTATTTTTGCTATATTTTATAATATGTTAAACCACTAACATAATAACCCAACAACAAGAAATTCCATTTATTACAATAAAAATAAATAATTTTAAAAATAGTTTACATTAAAATTATTAATAATATAATTAAAACAATAGCAATTATTTTAAGTTGACAGGAAAAGGTATTTTTTAAAAATTAAAATACATTCATTCTTAAAGATCAAATGAAAAAATCAAAACTACCTTAAAGAAAACGCAAAAGATACATGACTGTATTGTATAACATCTTTGAAATAAAATAATAACAAATTTATACTTTTAAGTATATTTTGTTCAATGATACAACAATTAAAAATAAAACAACCAGTCTGGAATGAAAACACAACGAAACCTTAAATACCAAAATACAATACATATTATGCTTATAAAATGGTTTATTATATTAAAATGTATAATATAAACAAAGCTAAAATAATCGAAAAACGAGAAACCATATTTAAAGCACAGATAAATAATGTTAAACACATCATAACATTGAATGTTTGTTATATTCAGAATAAGTGTTGAAATAACCATGTAGTATATTTGATACTCGATGCCGACTCGAGTAATTAGTCGGCACACATCATATGGCATTATACCTTGTAGATCACCCATTAGGTCGAGCCTGCCTCGAAAATGTTAATACCGGCCAAAAAATAAAAAAAACAAATTCCCTCGTGAAATGTCGTGACTATTCAGAAATGCATGACCACCACCCCGAAGTTCATTGTATCTTTGAACAATATGAGGATGTTTCCACTGCAAAGTGGAAAAAGATATAGTTAAGCTTAGAAAATATGGCAGAGCACCTGATAAATTAATGTGTTACACCTTTGTGTGTATGGAGTGGGAACTGGGCTAACTTATCTTACAAAAAAAAACAGAAAAAAAAACAGAAATGGGAAGAAAAAAACAAAAGAATCACAAGGATATAATCGATTCCATATGAGTGTTATTATATTTTATCATTTATATATTATAAATATATTATAAATAATAATTTTCAGAAAAATATTAAAAAAATTTAATAACTTAAAATTTTTTATATTTCTTTGTTTCCAAAAACAAAGATTTTTTTGAAAATATTGATATTTGTTTTGTCTTTTATTAAAAACTACTAATTTTACATATTAATCAACACTTTTTTGTGGTTATTATTTTATTATTATGTTACTTTTTTATATTCGATTCAAATTTTAACAACAAATTTAATAATAAAGCAGTAAACAATAATTTAAAACAATTGCAATGAAACAAAATATTTAAATCACAAGTCTTTGTGGTACTTCTATTTTTGTTTACAAATTAAAGTGTCGCTATTATTAACTACTTGGGTATATTTGCATTTTCTGTTTCTACCCACTTGGATAGCACTCTACAAGTGAATTGTGTATTCTTCACAATTCTTTTATTCCCTTTTTATTGATATCTTTATTGATACGAATTGGTTCTTAATTGTTTTTTTAATAACAGAATAAATATTGATGAATGACTACTTTGACGTTTTGAAATGCTTATGCTTTTCTACTACTTTAACATTTTATTTACTTTTGATTTGAAAACACTTAAATCAACAATAATAATATTCATAGTGTTTAGTACTGTTTTGTTTGTGATTCATTTATTTGGCGTGTTTTCAAAAGGGTATATTTTACACCTACTGCAGTTGTAAATGATACTTTTTATGATGCGTGGGTGCAGATCGAACACATAAAAAATGTGTAGATAAATACCATATTCTTCATATTTTGTACATACGAATATCCAAGAAAAGTGTTTTGTTACAATTCTTGTAAACTGTTTTTCAAAAGTCGGTACTGTCATATTTTTAGAACTTCCTAAAGTCCCGTTTTTTATTTTTGTTTTTTCCTAAAAAAACAAAAAACAAAAAATCGAAAGTACTGACTTCATTTTGAAAAAAATACCAATACCGTTCAATTATTTTCGTACAAATTCGGGAAAATATCGGAATATTAGCCATCTTTTTCCAAAAAACCTGATCCCGTTATTTGATTTGCCCACAACTCGAAACTTCGCAATATATACACAGCATTGTTGACCTAAAAGCACAACAATTAACGTTTAAGTGAATTGGGATGGTGTTGTTTGTGTCGAGTTTTAACTGATAATTACTTTCGTTAAATAATATTTTCAATTAAAAACAAACATGTGGTTATCTTCTCTGAATAAAAAATAATGAAATAAAGAGTTCCAAAAACACCAAAAATTACAGCAAATGTTTGATAATTTTGACAGGCATAAGTCAAAATTGTCAAAGGGCAACACTAGAAAAATAATACAAAATAACATTATTGTTTTGTTATTGGATATTTTAAAAAAGATGTTCTCACTGAAATGCTCAAAAAGAATGTCGACTTTATAAAACCCAACAAAAATAAGTTATCAAATCATTTTGTTATTTGTATTGTTTTTGTGACAACACTACTAAGCATACTAATCTTCGAACTAAGCTTTTGTTTTGTGAATATTTCATTAATTAATGAAATGTTTGATAATGAAAAAGATTGACATTAAGTTTATTTGCTTTTGTACTAAGATGCACTTTTGGGATCATTCGTGTGTATTTCAAGAACAAAAATCCCGTTATTTCAAATTTTATATGGATTTTTTTAATGCTTAAAAATTCTTCAAGTAAAAAAATATTTTTTGAAGACCGTTTTTCTCTTTTTTACTTGGAAAAAATAAGCGAATTTATTACAAAAAACGATTCCCAAAAATAACAAACAAAATAAATGCAAAAAATCGGGACACCTCAGTACCGACTTTTGAAAAACAGTTTATTTTAAAGTCAATTATTATATATTTATGAAGAAAATGATTTTGATATCACCAGCAACGTGTTTAATGAGGAAAAAAGTATTAAACACTTTCAAACTTGTGTTTAAAGCTTTTA